AAGAATGGATTACTTTGTCATTTCTTCTCTTCCTGGTTACATGTTTTTTTTTTACGATTTTTTTTACTATTTTCTATACAATTTTAACGGAAAGGAGAACTTTATCAAGACTTTTTTGCATCATTTGGCGAGTGTTATTTATCACAGAAGTTATGAACCCCTTTTTTTTTGTTATCACCCTGTATATCTCTGGCTTCTTATCTGCTAACAGAGACGATTATCGCGATCGTTCGGCGGCAATGTAACACCAGACGATATACACATTCGCACGGCCAAACATCGAACATCCCGATGGAAACGAGCACTATGACCTGTGAGGGTCGTTTCAACTTTTTCCTCTATTTGCGATTCCGGATCGATCGGGGATCATCGAACCAACGCGAGCTTTCCCATTCCTCGAGGGGATTTCGGTTCTGGAATATTATTCGCGGATCGAATTTACTCAGAAACGTGACTTGTGCATTCACATTGGTGCGTCTAAACGGAAGCACAGACGTAAACTTCCTGTACAAGCCAATCTAGTCTGATTTCAATGAATTCAAATTGCCGAGGTGTGTTACCGGCGTTTACGAACCACCCTGTATACGACGATGAGGAACCGTGTCCAGCTAATTTATCCAGCCTTCGCGTCCAAAGCACCGAAAAGCTTTTAACCGAATGTGACTTTCCGCCCTGATTGAGTCCGATAAAATTAAGACGAGTTTCTGATCGGGAACACACAAAAGTTTCCCCCCCCTCGTGGCCTCGCGACGCATCATGGGACGATCAGAACTTCAAACGTACTTTGGCCGTTGGTCGCGTAGAACAAACGCGAAAACGTAGGCAGATATACCGGGGCGCGCACACCTACGTGTTTCTAAATAAGTCTTATTCGTAGGTTGGACTGCACGAGAGCCACGAAACACGTGTCCATCTGATCTTTCCGACCGATCGACGAGTTCCTCGTATTACTATCTGAATTAATTCTCTGTCTCTCTCTTTCTCTGGTTTATCAATACGGTAGGAGACTTTGGAGTGCTGCTGAATTTAACGTGAAACTTTTCTAATCACCACAACCGAATTATACCATACGCCAGGAAGACTATGGAATTTGTGCAAAGACCAGCGATCCAATTACACTAAAGACACTATTAGTTTCCTTTCCGCCGTCCTTCCACCATTTGCATCTGTAATTTAGTTTCGGTACTTGGTCTTACTCGAAAGAATTCAACCGATGTCTGAAGATGACCGTAAATACGGACCTTTTATGTCCAAACTTTAAACCTGCTGCTGCGGTCATTAGCGACCCCTCCCATTACTAGGATTTGTACCCTTGTTCCATTATCTCTTCTATTAGACCAGAACTCCGGGACATAAACGACTGACACAACCCTCTAACATCAGTGGTATATATTACCCGCTATATAGAATGGATTTTATGTATAAAAGGGATTTTCTGTAGACATATATAAATGTGAACGTAGAACAAGAATGGAAAGGAATTATATTCGGTAGGAATCGAACGTTAATGGCGGATTCTCGCAACGTTGCGCCTTCAGGACGAGAAGTAATCGGTCTACCGGTAGTCATCATCCATCTAAGCATCCACGGTTAACGTGTACAGCAATTCTGCCGCTGGATGCTGTCGTCTTTCTCAAAATCCTCTCAAGAACTGCAATCGCCTGTACGAGTTCCCCCGAGTACTACATATCTAACCGGTCCGAAACACATTTCCCTGCTTTGGCTTGCGGCACAGACACTATGCAGTACATAAATCCCGCATGAAACCCGGGCTTACCTACGTGAGCGACCCTACTCTACCCGTGTGGTATTACGACCCACCACGGCGCGTAGAGAACGTCCGTCGCGACACGTATTATTTTGAATTAATAAAAAGACAAAGCGAGCAACACGACAGGGACTGTTCGACAATTTTCCACATCCGAGCATCGGGTGTACGTAGCACGCCAATCTATTTTCACGTTCAGGTTCAAAATGTTCAGTTTTCGTTACACATTTTCACTGGTAATTTTTCACATCGGAATTTATGTAACATTTTCTTTGTATTTTTAGTCGTAGAACATGTTGCCAAACGCTCGACCAGAACATTGATCTACATCCTCTATTCTCGTAGAAACAAGATCGCGTTGATTTCAACCGTGACGAGAGACAGTTACATGATTCTTGAATTTTCAAATTGGCGCGCGATATTCAAAGTCTCCAACGGAGAATGGTGGTTCGTTGTTAGGAAATAAACTCGAGTTGTCTCCTTTCACGTTGCTCTTACCCTATATGTTACACGGAGCCGTAAAACGTGTGGCGTATCGCGTGTCGATACGTGAAAACCGTGTACACGCAACATTTCGTCGAACGGTGAACACGTGCGTATAGGTTATGTACGCAACGACGTACGAGAAAGAGACGACCGAGGGACCAACGCGTGTGGAAGTAAAGAGACAGGGGGAACAAGTGCAAGAGGAGAAGGAGAGAGACCCAGAGAGGAGACAGTGGGCAAGCGAACACAAGTGAGAGGGAAAGAGGGACTAAGGACTACTGCCGTTTTATTGGCAGAGGTGAACGACACTGCTTACTGCAAGGTGGATGCCTGTATTTCGCATAACCGCTCGTCGTTGGAACGTGCCACCAGTTTATGGGTCACTACATACTGTTTTTAAGTACCTTCACACGAAAATAGTGTAGCCTCTCTGTGGCTAGATCGGTGTGGTCTTACATCGAGTAACCAACAAACATTATTCTATCAATTTAACCCTTTCGCTGTAGAATGTTACTTGCATGACAAATTTGAATCAGAAAAAAACTTCCATTAATCCTGGATACGGCTCCTGTTTCACTGCATTTTATTCGTTCCAATGTGGAATAAATGTATCAATTTTCTTCATCTACGTATAGGTCTAAATATACATTTTCTGAACAGCGGTAGGAGCGTAAACAGCGAAAGGGTTAATATCCTTTTGGACCCCTGTCTCCTGATTTTAACAAAATAGTCTAACATAATTTGTTGCTGTTACCCGTAACTTGTGAAAGATTAATAGAACCGAGTTTTATGGAGGTTATTACAAATGCTTTTCATGTTTGTATACAAGATACATATAATAGCGTTTATTTGGAACACCCTGTACACAATAATTCAAATACGAGTATTCTTTCATTTTTCTATTTGCAAATTGTGATCTTGATAATACGTAAAGCGATTCTTTTTTATAAATCAACAGTTCGTGCTGTACAGAATATCGAACTGTAAAAGCTAATAAGCTTGTGTAGGTTATGTAAGAGCGATTTGAAGGACGAGCAACAGGGGAACGGCCTAATCAACAAGAGCGGAATCAGAATTCACAGCTAATCTGATTTTGTAGCTAACCAACATATTGTTCTATCATCGTAAAGTCGTAAAGGATTTACGAATTGACAAACAGAATCCCCGACCGAACGATATAAGTATTATGACGTAAGGTGACACGCACATGCCGCGACACAAATTTGCAAGTGACAAAATGTAGATTCCAGTTTTCTATTCGTATGAAATTACACGATATCGCGTTCATGCATTTGAATAATCATTCGCGTCGAAATTTGTTAGAAAGCTGTTGTTACGAAATCAAATTTTCTTCTGATTCTGCGATGAAGATTAATGACAACAGTTCGAAATTTCTGTCGAAGGAAAATCGGCTGAGTAACGCGAACTGACCTCCACTTTACCGCTCCTCATCGATTTTCAGAACGTACGTCAATACGAAGTACGCTCGAACATGTATTCACAGAATAAAAAGGTATTCCTTGAAATAGTTAATAAATGGAACGTCCCATCATGCCTGTTAAGATTATATTAATTATACAAAAATAAGAAACTTTCGTTTTCAATGAGAACATGCTTTTTCCCGAAAAGTTTGAGGTTAGGTTTCTGGATTAGGTAATTTCATGCATCAATGTATGAACTGAACTATCTATCATTCATGAATACGATATTACATTGACATTACCAATGCGTTTCCTTTAATATTAAATAAAAAAGTTAATAAAACATACTATGCTAAAAAGACATAATGTTTCTTTTAAATATGACGATAAGTTTATTGGTAACACTAACCATAAGTTATGCAAATATTTTATTCTACAAGAGTAATTACTGTATAATTACCTCATCATACCACTACTTAATGGTGCAATTATTATGAACTGTTGCAAGTGTATAAAAAAAGATTAAAATGCTATCTATCTTAAGAATGCATGTGTTGAAATCATTAACATACCAGCTAGTATTTTGTTTACTATTAAAATATAAATCTATTTTCTCTATATATTGTAATTGCTCAATATTAAAACAACAAATGTATTGCCAATTGTCACACAAGTTCAAGGATGTTTGCACCATAAGTTTGTCAGTAATAAACAGACAATATTGTCTATCTTGGATAAAGTATTAATGTGGCACTCATTGTTGTTAAACACATTGTATAAACATATAAAATGAAATGATATAAAAAGGAATACACAATTTACATTCTCATGTCTTAATGTCACTGAAGACAGATTTTAATAATAACAAACTATATAGCTCTGCAAATGAAACAAATTCATAGCAATTGAAAAGTTTAAGTTACATGTTTCGATATACAAAAATATAGCTGTTTTTAACAGATTCAAGAACAATAATAAATACCAATAGAGAAACACAAGTTGAACTTCTAATATTAGTTCCAAGAATACATAATAATTAGACTATAGATTTTATGCATTTATATCATATATAACATTTTGTCATAACCAACTCATTACAATGTACTATTTAACAGAGTGTAACAAAGTTTTTACTTTCTTTGAATTCTAATAGATTCTTCATTACTTGCACAAAGATCCAAAGTCTAATGATACATAATATATATCATTTTAATAGTTACTACACCCGCATCAGTGGTTAGTGTCCCCAATGACACGACCACAGGAATGTAAACGCAAGACAACCATAGGAAATGAAACAGGGTACAAGGATATCATGAACTAACCTTTAAGCTGTGCTAACTGTTGAAGTTCCACATCCTGAGAATTACGATAGCGAGACGAGCCCTGTGACTTTTTGGTCTTCTTCTTGACAGATCTCTTGGCAAAGGGATCTATCCGGTCCACAAAAGTCCCTGTCGACATGTTGCTGTTAGCAGAGGCACTGTGAGAGCTGGAGGGAAGTGGAACGCTGGCAATACGTTCGTGCCTCTGCTGCCCTTTTCCGGCGCTGGACGCGACTAAAGAGGATTCCGTCCACCCCGAGGAGGCCGCATTCCGCGTGGACGAGGATAAACTCACTGCACTCACAACGAGACAAAGCGACACTGCACGAATTTACGGGAACCGCAGCACGTGGTGCGTGTGTCTGGGACACGGTAACCTACTGTTCACACGTTCCTGAACCAGACAGGGGTGAGAACTGATGGTGGTGCGTGCATAGCACAACGATATTTTCCCATCTAACGGAAGAACGTGCCGGTCGAGGGTGTGTTGTCAACCGACGAGATCCATCGAGATCACAGGTTCGATTTGCAATACGTAAAAATAATCGCCGGCACTTGTCTCGAATCGGCCGCGAGAAAAGGGGCGCGATCGCTTGTTAGGCGTTGTCACACGCGAACGCACGCCCCGTCGTCGTACGTCGGGGTCTCCCACCTAGACTGTTCAGCACAGAGAAGCGGCCACAGTGTTTCTCTCCTCGCCGATTCTACGTGGATTATGCGTTACCTGAAACCCAGACTGGTGATTCGTTGTACCGTTCGGATCCCCTCGTTTACGAGGATTCGATTCACGGCGACGGATAATAGAACGGTTGTGTGGAGCAGGCTTACCGTGTTGTGCCTGCCTGCTTGCCTGCGTGTCGGGTACCGAGAGTTCCGATGAGAAGAAGCACCGTTACGAAATAGTTGGTAGCTTGTCTAAGAGGCGGTCTGTTGCCGTTTAAATTCTATCTTCCACAGGATTATATATTTATTGGGCCACACGCGGTTTAGCCGCACTACGTACGTGCAACGAGACGCACACACTCACTTAAACGCCGCGATGGGGGACGACACAGAGGCTCGAACAGCACTCGGCCGCCATCAGCTGCTCGAATCGACGAGCTTCTTTCATTTTTGCCGGAACGACCGACGGACCCCGTTAGGCGTCAAGCCCCGACGAGATTTCCTCCAGCATCGTACGTTTTATCGCGAGCTCACCCACGGCCCACTACAATTTCGGCATCCAGCGCACGTAAAATTTCAATGGAAAAAGAAAAAGAACCAGCTCCCTCGTACCGTCGCCCTCTTCACTTATTGAAAACCCGTCAAGAGGTGCCTTGTGTGCCTGAAAATAGTAATGTGCGCTCGGCAATCGTCGGTCGGAGATTCCCGATCGAACACGAGCCCGCACGAGCATCCTAGATCGCGCCACTTTACGAATCTTTAACGTCCGCTGTCCCAACGACCCTTTTTTCTACTTCAAATTTATATCCATTCTACACAACTTACCTTTTCATTTAAATTACTATTTAATTAATTCTGTTATTAATATTATTCAAAAGTAATGGCTAAAAATCACAAGTTAATTGTGTATTTTTAACATCTGATTGATACTGTTAGGTGCTGTCCACATTAATTTAATATCCCTGCTGGTATGAACGCCCTTTAAAAGAGGTAGATGTCCTACACTGTTGGTCAAAATACAGTAGGTTCTTTATAGCAGCTCAGTTTGTCCTATACGTTAACAATTCGTTACTGTCCCCTCCATTGATTTTTATCTTTCGTTTGGCCAATAGAGAGAGTGAGAAAATACAGTATTGCCTCTGAGTGTATTGAGCTCAGAAACTTAATCCCTACTACGATGCAAGGTCGGTTAATAGATTTATGGACGATTCTGCTACCGAGATTGGTATATGACATTAGATTAGTGTTTGAAATATCTGGAATAGATTTTGTACATTAACAATATAATTGTCACCACCATTGTGGTATTTTCAATTAATGTTCAATTCTTCTTTTATACAATACATTGAAAGTGGTCGAAATTATTCCTGATGCCATCTATGGCAAAACTGTCAAGCTATAAACCAATTAGTATCATTCTTTTGATTCCAGATAACACTATACATATATCTCTTTCTTTTATTCGTCTATAAAAGTGAACAGTCCTATCCCGTCACCTGGGATCAAAAGGGTGGTACTGATTAGCTAGTGGCTTGGAAGTTTTAACGTAAATGGCGCTACGAGATGATTTTTGTGGGGAGCAGTGTTACCATTTCCCCTAGCGAGCGGAGCGGGGGTCACATGACGTGGAGTGGGGAGAGCGACGAGGAGCCTCAGAGAACGTTATTATACGTGTATGACAAACAAAAGGACAGACCAGGTACAACGCCAATTGCGATCTGAGCTACACTCACTCTCACGTCACGTGACACCCGCTCCGCTCGCTAGGGGAAATGGTAACACTGCTCCTCACATTTTGCCTATTACCGCAACTATTACCATTATTCTTCTTGTTTTGCCCCTAAGTATCTTCTGTATATTGTTGACGTTTGGAGCAATGTGTGTTTCTGACAGCACAATTGAATGCAGTTGAATGACAAGCATAAGGATATGTGAAATATTTATGTTTATTTTGCTGATCTTACCGAAGTCTTCATGTGTTCAATATCAAAAGCAAACGGTCTAAATTTGTTTCCACGATGTCCTGGCCTATATTGTGGAAGAGAGTTATTAGCCGATGGAAATTGGACCGATTGTGGTGCTTGTCCTAGAGGGTTCAGGGCAAATGCATCTTCAATGTGTGTCCCTTGCGAAGATGAGCCCATGTTTTATGATTGGTTGTATCTTGGATTTATGGCATTATTAGCCTTAGTGTTACATTGGTTTTGCATTGACATGGTATCAATGCGTCGAAATATACCTAAAGAAGTGATCGCATTACATTTATCTGCTTTATTTGAAGTAGTTGCTGCATCTCTAATTACTTTGCAATTGACCGAACCTATAGGCAGCTTCAGAATTACATCTTGTAGGGCCACAAAACTTTCAGACTGGTACACATTATTGCACAATCCTAGTCCAAATTATGAGGAGTCACTGCATTGTACGCAAGAAGCTGTTTATCCCTTGTTAGTATTTAAATAATCATGAAATTATTAAATAGTTCTCTATCATAAATATTGATTAATCGTGTAACTGTTAGGTACACTATGGTCTTCATTTTTTATGCTTTGGGAACAGCTATTATGTTGTTGATAAGGCCATTAATAGCAAAGAAATTTTTACCAAAGCCAGGAAAATTTTCGATTTATGCTGCTCTTTACTTCTATCCAATTTTGGCATTGCTACACGCAGTTGGGGGAGGCTTAATATGTGAGTAAAACAGATTGCACACTGGGCAAATAATGCATCTTAAGCATTTCTAATTTGTTTACAGACTATTCATTTCCATACATAACAATAACATTATCAGTTTTGTCCAATGCAGCACATTTTGCGTTTAAAATAAATCAGGTATAGTCCTTGTGATATTTCATTTATATGGATACATACAAGTAATAAGTTCTACTTATTACATACTTTTTTAATTTTCAGACAACGAAATCGTTATTATTGAGTTCTGTATCAGATTTGAAAAATATAATAGTTATTCTGGGTCATTGGCTCTTACATGGATATGGAGTAGTAGCTGTGGCAACTCTATGTGGTCTCAGCATTCGTCCAGCAATGCTTGCCCTGGTTCCTGTACCTGCGTTATTTTATATTCTTACAGCTAGGTTTACGGATCCACGTAAATTACATATCGAATAAACATTATTTCCAAAAATTGAGTATTAACGTAATTTTAATCAACTGAAAACTGTATCCTTAGAACAGTGGTGTGCAAAGTTGGCTACCGGGAGCTGAAACTTGTTCCCACTACCGGCCGCCGTTACTGTGGAGTAGCAGAGACAAGAGACTGACCTTCTTTATCTCTATGAAGGCATATTGCGCGAAAGAACGATTGAATGGGGAACCAGGCGCGTGAGGGGCACCTACGTTGTGCAGCGCTGCCTTAGAACGTAATGATGGGTTAGTCACAATACTATATATTTTTGCCATATCGCATTTAATTACACACACTTGCCATTTGCGAAGAGAATACATAATTAGGCTTAATAAATGTCATTACTTGAGAACAATAAGAGATTATATACTTGGTAAATGCAGCGTATCATCACGTTATGATTAATTTAATTCTTTGGCACAAACGTTAAAACAACGGTGCTCTTAGCGGATATAGGAACCTTCTTAGAGGGCAACTTCGTTCTGTAATGAAAGAGAAATATTTTTTTAAATTAATCGTTTCAAATTGTTCCGAAAATCAAACGAAAACAATGTTTTTATAAAGTCATTTACCTTATTGTTTCGCCTTCCTGTACATAATTAGGACTGTATGCTATCACACTAACTTCGTCCGAAATTTGTGGTATTGTGGACAAGTCCTCTACAGTGGATTCTTCTGATGTTTGATATGCTACTAAGTAGCCAGGATTACCACTCTTCAACCTAAATAATTAATTACAATTTTAATATTAATCTAGTAATTCGAAACTTAATAAAAGAGAATCAGTTCGACCAATATCTTAGATTAGTACACACATATATTTGGTTAGTCAAAATAATGATTAGTTACTTCTACAGAAAGTACATTTCATGCAGTATGTTAGTAAGTTAGAACTCACCAGCTCCTGACGTTGTATAGAAGCAAGCGTGAAACAAGGTAAATTAATCTTAGTAAATTACACAGTACATTTTTATAAGATGTGTGTTACTTGAGGTCTAAGTATAATATCAAACATTGACAGAGACAATTTATAGCAATTTAGACCTAATTCGATGTAACTTCCTTTAATACAAATGAATAAGTTCAATTAGTTAATTCTACTTTTTAACAAAATTCAATGTTATCTACAGGAATTCATGTTATTTTCTGTTACTAAGTTATAAAAGAAGTTTAGTGCCAGTTACAAACGTTTGAATGTTAACAGTGACTTTACAACATTACCTTGTGTATACAAATACACTTCCATTAACAGTCCTAAGCATTGTTTCCCCATAAAGGAATGTTACACTCTCGCGTGCTTTGGACAAAGTTGCAAATGAATCTTTTGCCATTAAAGTATCATTTAATGTGATGATTGGAGTACCAGGCAAAAGTAAGGTCATAAGTACCAAACTGTCTGCTATATCTGCAGGCATTCTTTGCCTCAGAGTACTCTTTTTACCATTGAGCTGAAATGTACATGTATATATAATTATAGACTAGTATAACAATTGGGGACTTACTGATAAATACTACAAGAACTTACATCCCAAGCAGGCCATGAAGTGAAATTGAGCCACTGTGAGATACCTCTGCGTAAAGTTGTCGCATTTATGCTGCTATTAGCAGTAGTGAAGAACTGAGAACTTTGTGGGATATCAATCAGTCTTTTCTTCTCATTGTAAACTTGTAAAATATCAGTTCCAATGTCATCTTGGAGGGCAAACAATCTGGAAAAATATTGTAATTTAGCAATTTATTTTAAGATATAGGTACATAATATATGCATACACTTTTAGTGCCATGAAAAAGAACTCACCCTTTATTGTCTGTTTCATTGTAAACTTTTTCTTGCCATTTTGACAAGACTGCAGCATTCTCTGTACGATCTCTCGTATAAGCATGTACTAATGAATCATAATTATCTGCTTCGGTTGGAATGGTACTTCTAAATTCATCACGAAGTTCTGGATCCTCGGTTAAGTATTGAGTGTTGGCTAAACGAAAACCATTGATTCCTAATTTCAACCAGTGACTTAGAACATCCTACAGTACAAATCACGTATTAATTACTGACATATGAAATCTGTAAGTGTAAACGTTAAATAGCAGGGAAAATCAGCTTACAGCAAATTCAGTAACTACAGATGGGTTATTGTAATTCAATTCGGGTTGACTTTTATTAAACTGATGAAGGTAATACTGTCCCCTCTGTTCATTCCATTCCCACGCAGAGCCTCCAAATACACTCAACTGAAAGAAAAATGCATTATAAAAACTTATAATTAATACACAAATTGTGATACAAAAAAAATATAACTAACCCAATTATTAGGTGGATTACGTCTACCATCAGATGCTGTTTTTCCGTCTGCCCAAACATAGTAAGATGTGAATGGATCTTCCTTTTCAACAGAACGTTTAAACCATGGGTGTTCAGTTGACGTATGAGTTGGATCTAATTCCAAAATAATATGCTGATCTCTATCTTTTGCTGCTTTCACAAGAGCCTCTAAATCGCTAATAGTTCCGAATTTTGGATTAGTATCTTTAAAGTCTTCTGTTCCATCTGTAATTCGGTATAGAATGCATCAATTTCTATTGCTATTTAAACAGAAGGAAATGTATGTAACAAGTTCATGGGGACATACCTATCGCATTTCCTTTAACCACTGATGCAAGAGAAATTGCACCTATATTTTGTCCTTGTAAAGTATCCAACAGAGCCTCCACACCTTTTAAATTGTGACTGCTCGTCTCAGCTGGATCTAACTGTACAATTGGACTTTTCTCCCACCATTCTTTCGGTTTGGGTGCTGAGCATTTCGGAGCCATCACTACAATAGCTATGGCACCCGCCAACATAGCAGCCCAAAGTAACCAAAAAGTGATGAATAAAAACCATCTCAATCGAACCCAAAATGGATCATTAGCAAATTTCATCAACTCTTCCTTGCCCATTCCAGAAAGAGCTTGCTTAACTGCCTTCATATCAATCTTGGCATCTCCGTTTTCAGAAATATATTTCACCTATTTAAACGAACATATCAATACAGGGAAAAGCAACATATTTAATACATATTCCGATTTAATCATTTAACGAATCATGGTTATTCCCCTGACGTCGAAGCCTAACCCACGCCCGACATTTTCCCCTTGTTTCGGAGCTGATGCAACAAGAAGAAGCTGTTGCTTCTGAACACTCTAGTGTTTGTTTCGCTATACAATAATTTTAATACGCTTACAATGATTTAAGACAAAAAGCTGTAAAGTTATTCGAAAGTGAACGATTTGTCCCGAAACAATTGACCCATGGAATGGAGCAAAGTATCTACGAAACAAAATAAATTTGCCATGCTACACGGAATTAAATGTAAGGTAAAGTCATAGAAGTATTGTTAATTATGCCCGAAAACAATGTAGCATCTTAACGATATTATGAAGATTAGGTGTGTTACCCACGAAAAAGGTGCACATTTATAAAACCTACCTCGGACCCCTCTTTCGTGGGAGAAACTTTGTTCTCATTTTTGAGCATCGTCTCATGGGCCCCATCGTCGACATCATTTTCAATGTTTGATTTCCCCATGGTAGTATTTTCGGTTGATTCGGTCTTGTTCACAACCTCCTCCGGAAGCGCCTTGTACGTGGCAACAACTGCCGTTTCTTTCGCGACACCGTTTGCCTCGCCGCTATCTAAATCCAACCTCCCACTCTCCATTGCGATCGCCGAACGGATTCCAAGGACACGATTAAAACGATCTTACGGGACGGGGATGCTTGAAATCTGTGGCACGAAAGATACTTTCTCTTTAACTGAACAACCCCCGAACCACCGTTCCTCAACGTTCCAGGGCTAAGAATGACTGGGCAAACGCGTTTTACCCCTCCGAGATGGTTTGGTTGTGTTCCCTCGGTCCCCTTTTTGTTCCTGGACCTATTTACTTTTACCACTACAAGCGCATGGCACGAGAGAAATCAGGGCCGACCCTTGTCCCTGAAAGGTTCTGTGGATTTGGAACTTGACAAGATAACACCCAGAACTATTGGTCATTCTAAAAACTTAGTTAGTGCCCATGGGACTAACCAACACATTTTGTAGATACTTTGTTGAAAAGAGGGTAGCTACTGTAAAGTACTTACCAGTTACATTAATTTTTATATTTATACAGGTTGTCTAACAATTTTAATGAATATACAATTTGGGTTGAAGGAGTTTTATATCCAGTAGGGATATTGTTGCAGTTTCCAGAATGAAGGAATGTTATTACAATAAATGAGTAGAACGTTAATAGATTGTCGTTGGAAATAGTTTTGGTCGGGGTTCCTTGTCAACGTAGCCCAGAACTGATGGTGCTCTGATTTTGATTGAATCGATTTAATGGAACGAATGGAACACTTTGTTCCAGCCAGGCACCAACCACAGCGCAAATGCTTTTCTTAGGCAATTGAGAGCATCATTTACATTACAGCTATTAACAATTATCGCCCATTTCAACGTAACAATTGAAAAATATTAATTTTAATTGTTAAATATGTGTTGATTGTTTAGGGTACCTCGTAAATTTTTGTAAAACTGATATGGGCGTGACTCGGGTAAAATTTGATTATACGAACCTTAATTTCCAAGATAAGTAGATTTGCGAGATATTAATCAATCGATGTACTTGAAATATTGTAATCAGAAGTTCATTGGCCCGAGGTTCAGCGTAATTAAATATCAATTGAAATTAATTTAAGACACCAAATTAATCAAAGACACCAATTCGCAATATTGCACACTTTGCATACGAAACAATAAAGACGCACCTGACGTCAAAAATTGCAAGTTTATCGATCGAAAATTTCATGCATCCCGCGTATTTTTAAAACTAATCTACATAATATATTATAAGAGACATTTCATTCCACACATTTTATTTATTTTACAGATTTTACTACGTACAGATTTACTACGTATTTTTACATAATCTGCATATCATACAAGCGTATCTATAAATTTTGATTTGGTTTGATTGGCTAACGCAAGCAGAGAACCAAACGCTTATCTTCTATCTTGCTGATAACACAGAAATGTATATTATCGTTCTGGACAAGTACAGTTTTTATTCGTATACTTATTTGGTAACATTACCTTAGAAACACAATGTAAACACGACCTATTACACGTTGTTCGTACACTTGGAACACTCACTGAAACAACGTAACATAAATAAATGTAGTCATGCGATGCAGAATCGGTACATAAAAATTGATCAATACTTATGATCGATTATGCTCGGATACTTACTGTACTTGTTGCATTTAAGATCATTCCTTTTTTCGAGGTAGTGCATGTTTGCGGCAAGAAACAGCAATAAGATGCAATTGATCCAATAAGTACTATTATTAACATAGCCCATAAAAACCAAAATACGAATAGACGAACGTTCATCCAAGCTGGATCAACGGTATAATATTTAAAATTATCATTCAACGATTCTGAAAACAAATTCGTTCATATTTATAACAATTCGATTCTTCCGGATTTATCATGTTCAAGGATTTTGTCCTTTATCCCGTTTTCGATTCATATCTTTCGTTTCTGTTTGTAAATTTCCGATACACGATTGTATCGATACGCATCGATATGCATCGATGCGCGGCATTCTCCGATAAGAAGTCTAAATAGAACACTGTGATTGGTCGAATTCAAACCCGATATTCGTTGGGTGATAAGTTGACGCATCTTTAACTACGCGCGCATTTTTTCGCGGTTTCTGGATAGTGTCGGTGTCACAACAAACCTGCATCCTTTTCCCTCTGTTTGGACCCGTTGATCCTGATTACGTCGTAGATCGATTTACTGCAAAGTAAGTGAGTAGTCTCTTTGGATTCCATTGTTTTTCATGCTTCCTTTCGTCTGGCGGTCGTTCTTCGCTATCGGACCGGCTGACTAACGGTTCCCTTGAATCACCGATTTTTCCATTACGCGATCGTTCACTTGTCGATACGCCAAGGGGGGATATGCACATATACCTACTTGTGTTTGCTAAAGACGAACCGATTCAGGCCGGTCGTTGTCGATCGGTGTCACGAAACCAACAATGAAGGCGAACGCGTACGTACCAGATAAATATAGACATTAATAGATACTGATTGAAACAACAAAATTACTTTCGCTACCCTTATTGTTATTCCTCAGTCACTCTTATCTCGGCGAGAGATACGTTAGACGCGATTCAACGCAGTATTTACGTCTCTTCAAATTCGTTGTCGCTTCAGTTGCAATACTTCCAGCACAGAACAGAGATAATTTTATTGCACGACGTTTCAAATGTACCATAAAACACTAGTGGTAATTATAAATATTCTCGAAAGTACTCAATCGTATTTAATACTTATTCGATATTTCACAATAATTATGCAACCGGTCAATCGTATTTTCAACGTTTTTACCTCGTTTACATTTCTAATAATCGGCGATAGACTCTTATCTGTGCTACGTTCGTATAACTATACCGAGCGAAATACAGTGACTGTCCAAGATTTTAGTGTGCATGCAACTGGCTTTTAAATGATACGTGCCAACAACCCAGGTCACATTACAATACAGTTTTAAGAGTCATTTCACACATTCGCTACTTTGTGAACATACTTGGATGGTAGGAGTATTTGTGGTGTCATTAATATAAATTATGGCGACTATATAGAATCAAAAGGTGAACACCTGAGGCCAATGTCTTGCCGGACGGAAATAGACTTATTAATTTTAGAACAATGTGGGCACATGTGTTACACATGTCGGATAAAGTCCACACAGTCTTGTCCTTTGTATACAGTTACCAGGCTTTTAATGATAGAATACTTCGTTTAGTATAATTAGTTTGATTTGTATACAACTAGAACTTATTATATATTCGATAAACTATAAAAATACTTAATTTGTTAACAACAGTATCACGGTAAATGTACTTATTATTAATTTTAACACTGCCATGGAATTAGCAGCAGAGTTCTTTCCTGAGTCTGTTGTAGTTGTTGTACTACTTGTGGTTGCTTCTTGTTTTTCCTCCGCTTTTAATACATATGCAGCATTGGCACTGAGTATTAATTTTTTTGCAGAAACAGGTTTCCTAGACATAGGACTTAAGTGTTACTTATAAATTTTCTTAAGTTGAAGGAATAATATTTCAAACCTAGACTTTTCACTTACATAGGCTGAACAGCATTACTAGAAGCAACAACAATCTCTATGGAATCCTCTAAATTTGGATACAAAGATGTTAGATTAACTATTTCTTGACGTAGTTCCAGGTTGACAACAACAATGTACATAGAATAGCCTTTCAGAAATCTGGAAGAGAAATGAAGTTATCTAATTATTGAGTATCTACGTTGAATATCTGATTCATTACATACACACCTGTTGAGAATAAATACACGATCGTTATTTAAAGTTTGAAACTCATACTCTCCATGGGTGAACACTGCATTTTTTCTAAGACTGGAAAGTAACTTATAAGTGTTCAAGTTACTCTGTTTATCACGTTGTTGGGATTCCACGTTACTATCTACATAATCCGGATGAATGGGAAGATATGTTTTTTTGCTTGTTGAAAATCCTGCAGATGTGTTGGAGTTCCACTGCATTGGTGTTCTCGCAGGATCTCTAGAGTATATCTCGTACGTTTTACTTGTTCTTGATGTACCCATAGGATCTATTGTCTCGTTCCACAATATTTTCCTATCTAGCATTGCAATCTCTTCTCCATAATAAGTGTACGCTTGACCAGGCAATAATAAACTGAGCATATGAAGACCATCAACACGATTCAGTCCAATTCTTGAAGCTGCTCTTGAATTGTCATGATTAGAAAGCTGAAATTATAGAAAGAGTCTGTGTCTATCTTGCCCAGATTAGGTGCAAAGAAGCAGAAATATATATTGTTTTACACGTCCTTACCACCCAGTTTGTGCTTGTATCATTGGGAATCGTGTTAATCCAACCTTGCAGGACTTTTTTAATGTGTTCAGCAGTACTAGTGTTCTGGATAGAGGTGATAAAACGGAAATTAAACGGGGGAATTCCCTCATTGGTAGTATTACCATATAATTTCACCAGTGTTTCATCAGAATCATAAGATTCTACAATCAGTAATCTGCAAACGAACAATTACACTTGCTTACTAGTAGCAGTGACAGAGTGTATGTATTTACTAATAAAATTAAGATTATAGTACGTACTTTGAAGTAGTACTATTTGCTTTCACCCAATCATTGATATAGGAGCGAAATCTATACACAAGATCTGTATTTTCAGGCAGTTCACTGGTGTAAGTTCCGGCAACAGATTCGTCTCTTAGCTCCTTATCCTCGAACAGGTACGATACAGAATTGATACGGAAACCATCAACACCCCTGTTCAACCAGAAGTTGAACACACCCTGTGACATTGAAAGCACATTAGTCTCCAATTGAATTACAAAATCCAGTATTATCGTAATGCAGATATATGTATATTATACCATTAATTCTTGCAAGACAAATTCATTTCGTAAATTCAGGTCAGGTTGGGATTTGTGAAATTTATGGTAATACCACTGTCGCCTTGTAACGTGCCATGTCCACGCGGATCCCGGCTGATCGCTATAGGTGCTAATCTGAATAAAAAAAATAACGTATGTGTGTCCACGTCTTACGAAATTATTTTCACGAATGTAAAACACAATCGTACCCAATTATTCGGCGGTACATTCTTCCTCCTCTCGTTGAGTGATCCATCCGACCAGACATAATAGTCGGTGTACGGATAAATCTTCCGTGCAGACTTCGCGAACCAATCGTGCTGGTCGCTCGAATGGTTCGGTACTATGTCCAAAACAACCTTTAGATCTGAAAACACATTAAATATATACGTTATTTAGTGTACAATTTTCTTTTTACGTCAAATTCACGTTTACCGTTGAAACTCACCGCGTGCATGTGCTTCGTTTATCAGTTCATCGAAGTCTTTGAGACTACCGAAAACAGGATTTATGTCGGTATAATTGGAAATATCGTATCCAGAGTCAATTAGAGGCGACGGGTAAATAGGGTTCACCCAGATAGTGTCCACACCAAGATCTTTCACGTAATCGAGACGACTGATGATACCTGTGCAGGAAAAAAATGCATTCGTTTCAGGGAGGACCTTACAAAATTGTAATTTTTAACATTCTCGATAATATCGGTGTTTTAATCAAAAGGGTTCTCGGTCTACGTGCATTTCGTCCATTTTTAAATGTACAGGATGTCCCAGTATTGATAGTACAATCGGGGAGGGGGTGATTCTATATGAGAAAATAAGTCGAAAATATGGAATACATTTTTTTCATTCGAAGCTTTGTTTTCGAGAAAATCGACTTCGAAAATTAATCTGAAACGCGTGCATTGGTCTATAGCATTAAGTAAAAACGGAATGCAATGGACAGACACGCTAGCCAATCCTATTCAAATGCACGTTTATCCAGCAGATTTTCAAATGCGATTATTTCGAAAACAAAGCCTCCAGTGAAAAAAAATTATTCTATATTTTCGATTTATCGTCTCATGTAGAATCAACCCCTCCCCGTTTGTACCATCAATACTGGGATACCCTGTATAGATGTGATTGTCGATCGAGCTCCGTGGGTAATTAATTCGCATCCGAATCGATCGAACTCAATCGTCAATTCTCCACTGGGGCCCAAGATTCCCGTCGATAATGTATCGATGCTCCACTTCGTTTTCAGTGACACATAGAGGAATGCTGAAGTAACTTCGGCTGGTATCTTGACCAACGAACGATAAGCGAGCCCGACACGGCAATCACAGTTTCCACGCGCGGCGTTACAAATACCCTGTCGATATTATACAGACAAGTTCATCATGATTCAGTGATAGTCGTTTAAACTCTGCCCTCTCCGAGAGTTATACAATCATTCGTATTATCAAAGACCTCAGTGTCACCGAGATCATCCGTCTCGTTTGTTAACGTTCTGATTGTAGACCGTCGACTCGCACTGTCTGGCTGAGATTTCAATTATAGAGGGGTAATTCTTCATTCAGAATGCAATTATATTACAGTAAATCATCGATGAGTGTTCGAAGGTTCTTCATCACTGAGTATTAACCTTTAAGTACCGAGGCGTGGGTGTGCTCACAAATTCTTTATAGTATTTCAACCGTATCGTCAGTGCTACGACCAGTCAGATTGTCTACTAGTTAGATGAACCATGAATACGTTTGCTCGACTGAGTCAGCACACGTCAACACTCTGCTCACAAAGTCAGCGTTTCTCGGTGTTTCATCGCTGAAAACGTTCTTCTATCTCACTCAAAGTGTACATACAGGGTGTAACAAAAATGTTGGAGGACCCGGGAATTGGAGACTCGTGAGGTGATTTGGAAAAAGTTTTTCCTCAGGAAAAATGTTATCTGAGGCTTTGTTAACGAGATATTAACGAAAAACCCTGACCAATCAGAGGGCGAGTCTGCCAGCCGAGTTCCCGCGGTAACTGATCGCGGGGTTCCCGCGGTAACTGATCACCGAGTTCTCGCGTTCTGATTGATCGGGGTTTTTCGTTAATATCTCGTTAACAAAGCCTCGGATGATATTTTTGCTAAGGAAAAACTTGTTCCATATCACCTCACGAGTCTCCCACTTCCGGGTCCTCCAACATTTTTGTTACACCCTGTATATACCACCAGTCTGGTGGTCGTTTAGGGACCAATTAAAACCCTCTGAACAATTCTGTAACCCTCGCGGCGATCGACACACACCTGTGGATTCACGGTTATACACACTACACAAACCTACCCTTCAAGTCACCCTCGCCGTTACCGTCGCTGTCCTGGAATCCTCTCGGCCAGATTTGATAAACCAGCGCTGTCTCCCACCATTCCTTCTCGACCAGTTTCCCGCACTTTGCACAGGTGATCAAAAGTCCCAAAGCGAGAATCAGACGTCCGTGAAACGGAGCCATTACGGCGACGACGCAAGCGAAACTTCGCGTTTCACCGACGATTTCGTCCTATTATATATATTTTCGCCGGTGGACAACTGTTATCGCGATTTTATCTTCACCGCCTATCGACGATGACTCCTTGCTCGGTGTGTTGTCCTTATCGCTTCTTTTCTATTCCTTGTTCCCCTGGAATCGCCGAAACCACGCCATTGTTTACGCTCCGAATGTGAACAGAGAAAATGTCACTGTGATCCCATTTTTCGTCGCGGAAACACGGGTTGGTCTACTTACTACTTTTATCACCTCGAGAAACGTTCATGGTACATTTATACGATTAGTCTGAGATCTTTTGCTCACCGTCGACATTGGCGTAACTAGACCGCTAGTACCATTATTGCATTCGGCCCTGCAATTGGTGTTACAGGATTATTAGTTACAGTAGAATATTAAAATTAGAGAGCTTAATTCTAATACAATTTTACTTAACACTTTCACGTAATGAGAATAGTATTGTATTTTTTTGTATTTAGGTGCATTGCGTATTGCATTTCGGCACAAGTATTTATTTTTTATAACGGAAGATTTTAGTAACTAATGGAAGTTACTAATAGTTACGCCAATGACCATCGAGATATCCGATCGCGGTTTTAACCCTCTTTGACCTCCCTGGGTCTTTATTCCACAAGCGAAATTTTATTCTCAAATATCTCGAGAATAAAGAGATTGTTAATAAAAAAAATCTTTTAATATTCAACTTTAAAAAATATTAGATTGTGTAGTAGAAGCCCTGGGAAGTTTCCCTGAATTTTTCAATATACAAGAAGCAGTGATGGAAGTTGATATTCGAACGATTTTTGACTGCATGATTTTAGCTTGTAGAACCTAATTATAGTAATTGATATTTCAGTGAAATTCGTATTAGAACAAATTTAGAAATAGGTGAGTGGGGGTTTATCTGGACCCCAGGTATATTACCGTTTCTTCGATCATCAAAAATGTCCGTTTTTCAAGGGTGAATATTTTTTACGAAGGGTGTTATTAGTAAGTAAAAACGATATTGACGGTGAAGAAAATTGTATGGAAACCTTTCAAATCTGCAGTCCTTTTGCCAACGTGATTCCCAAGGGGGATCTGTGAGTTCTTTGGACACTGCTCTTGGAACGTTTCCGCCTATACCGCGAGGACTCTCTGATTTACTTTGACTCTGTTATCTGAAAAGTTCTCGGAACATAGCGGCAGACTTTTGTCTCGAGAGCACCTATCGACTATGGGAGAAACAGAGAGAAACCAGTCAAGGGGGTGTCGAATGTAAGAACAGAAGGGTATAAGCAAAAGGATTCTTGCCAAGAAACAGGATATCTCTTGGCATTCTTGATCCTGGCGTCGATCCTAACTAGGGATGTTCGAGAAGTGATACACGCCGATTTTTCTGTAACTTTGCTCATTTGTTTTTCGGATCGGTCTAAGAATTTTGCTATATTTGGTTCTTACTACTTTTCGACTGGAAGGTAGAAACCACCCCTTTCACTTGGTTACTTGTAACTCATTAATTACAAAAGATAAATTTTGTATCATTTTTAATTGTCCAAATATCGGTAGGAGAAAATTTCTTTTCACCCATACATATGGGCAATTAAAAACGATACAAAAGTTATCTAAACATCTTTCGATATTTTTTATAGTTTACGATTCAAGTAAAAGGGTTAATTTTCAAGTGAAGTTTACACTTATATAAAATGATCATTTATTAACGCCTGTAACTCTGTCATTTTTAATTAGACTACCTTGAAACTTGCACAGAATATTCTCGAACTTAAAGAAAATGTAGAAAGTGAAAAATCGATTTTTTGAAAATTTCTGACTTAGCATGACCCCTTAAAGTCGAAAAGTAGCAATCACCAAGGAGCAAGTACAGTAAAATTTTAAAATTAGTCTAATAAACAATTGAGTAAAGTTGCAGAAAAATTGGCGTTTATCACTTCGCGAGCATATAAGTAACTTTGACGGGTGTTAAAAATGGTTCCTCCTCATAGCATCTCTCAATGTCTTCTAACGAATATACCACCTGAAATACCACGTTGCTTCACGAACGTTCCCACTGCGTAGCTAATGAATCAGGGATCATCCAGACCGCGTTTTTTCATCGCCTGGAACATCCACTAACCCCTGGCATCGTACACGTCCGCCGCAATTAATTCCTTCGTCTGGTCTCGCTTAATTAAAATTCCCAACGACTCGTAAAAAAAACCGAGAGGACTCTTCCACCTGTCGTTCGGAAAATATCGCCACTCGGTTTCGCTCGTATTTCCACGGTAGCTATCCACCACTACCACCCTCGGTAAACGTCCCTGGAAATAATTCATACACGCGGTTAACCCTTTCGCTCGTGGTCCAAGGTGCGCACTTTCCATCCACCGTGTTTGGAATACCTTCAGGGCCGAATTAAGATTTTTTGTGGCCCAGGGTTATCAAATTTTCGGGGGCGTCCTTGGTCGAAAAGGGTGGAGGGAAAGGTTGGGGGGGATATTTTGTAATACAGCACAATAATATACATAAATCAGAGATTTGGTAGGCTTTCACGGCCCGACATCGTATAGTTTTCACTGTTGAGATTTTCGGGTGTAAAAATGTCGACTAATTCAGTCGACTGAATTGAGTCGCTTCAAGCGACTAGATTTAGTGGACTGAATCGAGTCGCTTCAAGCGACTAAATTTAGTCGACTGAAGGTAGTCGTTGGTTACTATCGACTTAATCGATAGTTTTTAGTCGATGGTGCCCATCACTATGGCGGACCTCTTAACGGGACACGACGGTGCGCGTGACTGTGCGGGGAAAAGCATTATTTACCGGGATCGACTACGAGTTATTGTAAATTGGAAAGTAACAACGCCACGGCGATATTGTACCCCTGCTCGTATTTCGTTGAGGGGGGGGGGATCATTATGTTGGGCGGGGCCAGTATTTCGGGTCGAGCGCGTTCAGTTTATCGTGTTTGGGGGCTGGTTATTGTAAATAGCGTAATAGAGTTTGATTAAAACCGCGTTTTTTTTAACGGTGGAATTATATTTAAAATAGAATTATGATTGTCAAAGGATCGGTTCGACTCGATAGGGTTTTTCAAACTTTTGTTCGAATTGTTTCCATTCTTTTTGCACTGTTTTTAGACGACTGACAACGGCCAGTATTTCCCATTTCGGTTATAGTGTCGAGGGTGGCTATTGTAAGCAGAGTAATAGAGTTTGATTAAAACCGCGATTTTTTAAACAGTGGAATTGTATTTGAAATAGAATTATGATTGTCAAAGGATCGGTTCGACTCGATAGGGTTTTTCAAACTTTTGTTCGAATTGTTTACATTCTTTTTGCACTGTTTTTAGACGACTGACAAAGGCCAGCATTTCACGTTCATTTTATCGTGTTTGGGGCTGGCTATTGTAAATAGCGTAATGGAATTTGATCAGAACTGCAAATTTTTTACGGTGGAATTCTATTGGAAATTGAATTGTGATTGTCAAACGATCGGTTCGACTGGGCAGTATTCTAGAAATGCGAGGTCCTTTGTTACACATGTATGCACTATTGCCCGTTGAACGGACGAGTCAGTAAAAAAAACCAAAACATTTACGTGCTCAGCTCAGCTATTAGCTGACAGCTGTCTTCGTCCTTGTCCCATTTCAGTTGTCATCCTTTGTTTACAGTTATTGACTCGACTCCTTAGATGTGGTATTTATATAGGCTTTCAGTCTAAAAATAAGGGTTCAGGTAATTCACGACGGGACCACTCGTAGCGTCGCGATGGTCTGCAGGTATTGCGTGGTGACATTTTGCAACTACGTGACACCGCCTGCTTTCTTTCAGGAATAGTGTTTATGGTTAGTTTCATGGGTACGGTGAAGGAAGGGGAGATTTCTTACCTGGGTGGTTGGCAAATGGAAGGAAAGCAGTGTACATTTGAACGTAAGTGAAACAAGACAAGTCGAGTGTCAGTGAAAGAAAAGTGTGGAATGGAGCATCAGCGAAGCAGAGTGGATTCGAGAGCCAGTGAAGTAAAAGTGTGGAGCGTCAACGAAACAGAATAATATTTTAGGGTCGATGTACGTAGAACAGTGTGGGACAACCCAAGATATAACGATGGTAATTCTAACCATAGTCATTTTATATCTAGCCTTGATTCACGCATTATAATAATGTCTCGATGAGTGCGACATAAAAGTTTTCAGTCCCTCATAAATTTATTTTTTGCAGGAATCGAGCTTCTGCTTAGTTTCTATTTACTATGTTTTAATCGGTCCCACAGGGAAGCCCCCATTGGTGGGAAAAAACGCGAGTGTTGCATTCATCGAGGGCTCACTGTGACATTTTTTTTAACGTTTGTTCGGTTACCTTGTGAATGATTTCGTACGTTGATCGAATATTTTGTATTGTCCCGACTATTATTCACGGTTTCCAGCGATTCCCCAGTAATAATTTAACGCCGAAAACGGTTCATAGACGTAGTGTACTCTCTGTCTCTCCGATAGGAGGATTCTCTATGGCCATCAAGAGGTGAACCACTTGATATTCGTAGTGGACAGTGCGATCGCGATATCGTTCGTCTCTTGACAAACTGGAAGAGAAAAATAACGATGTGCAATTTGCATGGGGACACTGGACGGATAACGATGACCCGGCCGAGCCGATCGATTCCTCTTCTCGCGCTTGTGTTTTCCGTCTGTCCTGGCCAGACCGAGTGGTTCATTTTTAACCGAGCCGATGGGGTGAGTCTTTGTTAAGTGGAAGGTGATTACCTACAAGATACACGAAAATTTTAATTAAGAGGCTATGCTAGTGTGACGGCTATATTATGAGGCAATTTTTGGGAATTTTTTAAAGAAACACTATTGAACTTATCAATTTGAATAATATATATATATATATATATTTACTAAATAATATTTGTAAAGTATGCTATATTTTTATAAAGTAAAAAGAATGTATTTTTTCAAAGTTACAGTTCGTTTGTGAGAGCATCTTAACTCTTTGAGGCACATGATTTAAAAAAAAAATGCAAATCCTAGTTGCACAGAATTTTTTTTAATATAAAAAGAATTATATAAATATAAAATATTGAACTGTATGACAATGAGTAACTTCAACTTTTCGAGGTGGTTTAAAATATATCCCACCATGCATGAAAAGCTACGCAAAAGGTGGGACAGTTTTTAACCCAGCTAACCCTAAAGAGTTAACGAAATTTCCTTTCCATGGCGGCCATTATTGGAAGGGAAAACTAAGAGTTTCGGAAAAGTATGAAAGTAAAATTATCTATGTTTATCTAATCTGATTGCTCAATAACCGTGAATATTTTGGTTAATCACATAAAAGATAACTGAACTCTAACTGAGCTCCGATCGAACGAAAAATCAAAGGTGGGGAAAAACAGACGGACTCGTATGTATGACCGCAACGAACTTCATATCCGAGAATCATCGAACTTTTGTCACTCTGTTTCTGCAACGATTCTGGAAAAAGTTACGTTGAAATGTGTCGAAGTCGGGGGTTAATTTATTATTTATCTGGACAATGTCGGGCGTAAAAACACACTCGCGCGCTTATCTGTTTTGTCGTTTTATTCTCGTCTGGAGCATAATCTCTTCGACGACAATATTCGGTATTTTTCCGCAGTTCGACCTTTTATTTAAACAAAATGCCAATTGGTCGATTCATTTCGCTTTCAGGCGTGGCCACTTCGACGAGTACATCGACAACAAAAAAGAATGTAAAAGAACGGTGATCGCGACCGAGGAAAATTCGCGGAGAAATTAAACGGTCCCGGAGTTAACGGTCGTTTAAATTAACTTCGTTAGCGGCGGTGAGCCATTAACGGACGCGTACCCGTCGCTGCCCATAATGAAAATCAATTTAGTATTTGTACACACACACCGGCCATCCCCCTGGGGAACTTTGTAAACGATGAAAATCAGATTCGTTTCCGTCGTGGTTTTTCGGCAAACAGCGGAAACCGCGTGGATATTTACGGTTCTTTTCAATATCGAACAAATCAGAAAAAAGAAAAAAAAAGACAGCCAAACTTTCGAAGGTAAATTGAAAGGTAGAAAAGAAAATAATGAATTGAATCGAATTGAATTGACGCTATAGATCGTTTCGAGGGTTTCGATGGTCTTTGATTCAGGCGAATTCAATCGAACACAATTCGATCGCGTTTCATTTGATAACGAGAAAGCATTTCATTTCCTTTCAATTTGGTGAGAGTGAAATAGGGAAGTTAAGAAAGAACGAAAATAAATAAAGAGGTTGCATACAAATATTTGGAAGCAGAAATAAACGGAAGGCTGTGAATAATTTCTACGGTTAAGTGCCGGTTTATCTTTTTATTTATTTATAATTAAGTAAATTATCATCGTTCCGTGTGAATTGCTTCGTGACACACTTTTCTGGCGAATTCTCGGTAAAGGAGAAATATGTGTAACGCGTTTTGTCAACGTTAAAATAGATCGAACGCTCAGATATTTTCCGTGTTGCTCGTGCAACACAGGAAACTACTTAACGATAAAAGGTCGACATTCTTCGCGGGCCTCGTTACCTTTCTTATTATTTATCGAAGATCGAGTACTTTGATGTGACGGGTGAATCGTCGGCCAGTAATGGGATCGAACGGGTCACATAATGTAGTTCCGATACCTTATTAATGACCAAAGGTACACTCCAACAAATAACAAATAAGTTATATTCAAATTTGTCCAGATGTTTTGGTATTTAATCCATTAATTCCATTTGTAATCATTAACTTATAATATGTATAATTTAGTTCGTTTTCGTTAGATGGATACTATTTAGAAACTATTTAATGAATATTTGTTTTTTTTTACATCTTTAAATTTTCCTATCTTTTTTAACATCTAAGAACTATACGCAAAGAAATTTTTTTTACTCGAAAGAAATAATACAGGTCAGAAGGTGTTCTCGTTTATATACCTCCGTGTTTCAATAAAACATTTATATATTATTTCCAAATGTAATAACGAGAAATTCTAACCAGATAAAGTCAAATCAGTATTTTCCCCTAAGCAACCTATGAAATGTAGAAAAGAAATAAATATTTAAAATATCAATACTAAAAATGTCTACGTTTACGATCGTCAGTGGAATACGGGAAATAAACACGAAATACAGATTTGGTGTAATTTAATCGTGAACGCAGATTCGATTAATATTCTCGAATATTTGAAGGTAGAGTCTTGGTGGACACCACGAAAACAATCCTGCATATTATATCGGCTAGGGAGAGGAGAGGAATGCAGCGATTCACAGCAGGGTATCCATTGTTCTGTCCGCACAATAGGGCCATTTCGACGCCAATCAAGCCTTTACTGAAAAACAATTACTCGCTCTCTCGCGTCGACAACAACGGCCGACTAATTCGTAAACTTGTTGTTCGTCTCGTGTAACGATCAGGTATACATACACGGAAGAATTCTGTACGAAACGATGATTTTTCCGTCCGAAATTTCGCTCGATTCTAATCCTCTCTGGGTTCGCCCAGTTGGGCAAACGGTGGCCGAAAGTTTCAGCGGCAACGTGTTGGTTATCCGCGGAAGTTGCTCGACGGATGTGTGTTTGGGGAGCAGAGCGATCCAATTTCGACGGGTAATTAACACTAGACCTACCGATGATAAATGTGCAGATCTATTTCTGTCGGTCCATAAACATGACGAACTTTGGAACATTTACAAATTTATAAATCAACTGATTTCTTCGTTTTCATGTGGTAATAACAGTTGTAAATGATCCGAGAAATTTATAACTAGGTTTGTGGATTTATAGCTAGTCTTAAACTTGGAAAAATTTAATAAAATAAAGATTTTATCGTAGTTATTAGACTGTGGAAGTTTATGTAAATTCAGAATTTCCAATACTAATATTTATAAATTAAAATGGGGCTGAATTTCGAATTTTGCACTACAGGCTTTACTATGTTAATAACATAGAAATAGTATTGATATTTATTAAAACTTTTAGTACATTGCATTTACAGCGTTTCTTGACTTGGAAAATACAAACAAAAGTAGGTTTTAATAAAGTTTCGTTGTATTTATGTATTATTATTAACGCAGAAAAGCTTCTCTGGTGTTAAATTCAAAATTCTATCAGACTCTAATTGTGATATATTCCTATCGAAAATGACGAATTTGCATGAAGTTTCACAGTTCAGTTATTAATAGTACAGCTTCAAGTACAGAATTCAAAATTGTGCTTAATTTCAATTTTCAAGTATCGGTATCGTGAAAGTGTGAATTTGCATAAACTTCCACAGTCTAGTTATATAACATTGTAATTATGGTTATAGGATTATACTGACCACTAATTTTGAATTGTTTGGTAGTTCTAGTGTTAAGCTCCAGAGGGTGGACGATGGGAAAATTCGGATATCAAGCTCGGAAATAAACAGTCTCGCTGGTGTAAATAACATTTAATGTCTGTATATTTTTTGCACTTTCGACTCAATTACAATTAATTGATTCTTTAGTCGGTCGCCCGCTCACGTTTTGTCTGTCGCACGCGCGAGCCACTTGCGATCGAGGCAAACGGAATGATTAATGTCGATTGGGAAAACGAGCATCATCGATTAATTTCCTTTTAAAACACGATTTGCAACAACGATTAAAACAACGAACGTTCGTTTAAACATAATTCTCTAGAATCGATTTGGATTTATAATATTCCGTACTTCCTATAATTGTTTTGATAAATGGGTTAAACCGAAAATTCCCCTCGATCTCTCACATTTTTCGTTGCGTCGAGGGCAAGTGGCTTCTCCACATCGTTCTTCGCTCTGTGGTTTTCTCAGGGATTCTCAACGAGATATCGTACATCAACAATAATTAACACGCATTACTAGCCGGCTGCCTCGTTCGCCAGCTGTTCAAGATCGATCAGAGGCCAGCGGAACCATTGGTCGATGTGTCCTCCGATCTTGAATTGCTTTCACGTAACCACCAGCCGACACAGCATAATAATTCCGGTAATAATGAGCGTAGGCATGAAACGGCTTTAACGTTTTCGTACAACGATTTTGCAGAAGGACCTCTCGGAAGGTGGTGGTCCCCCCCCCCTTGTCTTGTTCAATTCTGTACAATAGGAATTATACACAGAAGACGGGAAGATAAAGCTTCATCGTTCTTGCGGTGGAGGAACAGGACAGAAAGATCGATACTCTCGCATAATAGGAAAGATGCCCCCTGCTTCTCCACTATCTCACACCTTGAATTCACGATGCGCTGGTTATCTGTTAGACGTGATTTAACCCTTGCGTGGGCAAGCAAAATATTCACGGAATGAATAATTGGAATACTCCTATTCTGACAGATTAAATAAACATAGATAATTTTACTTCCCTAATTTTCAGCAACTCTTAATTTTCCCTTCCAACAATATACAAACTGCTGTTTTAGCCAAGAACGTAAGAAAGTGTGAAAGGAAATTTAAAAATTGGTACCTGGGTACCTGGTTGCCTACACAAGAGTTAAGGTGGATTTTATAGTCAACATCTTCTTGGATTCTATACCCCTTTCACGACGGTTATTTCTGTGGTTTGAGTGTTTTTATTTTTTACTGTATTTTCTTTTTCGTATACTCGTTGAAGCTTCCACAATGAGAAAAAGGAGGTATGGATGTATATCTATCGACAACGATCACGCGATAAGTCTCGACCTTCCTGTACCGGGCTGTCTCTGGGTTAGTTAAACAGTTCCACCAT